TTGGATGTGCTCAGTTTTCACTCTATACCAGGTACTTTGAATCATAAGACTGAATATTCCTGGGCTTTTTTTTTTTTTTTTTTTTTTTTCCCCTTTCAGCAGAGACCTTTGATTTCTAATTAGAAAGGCATTAACCATCCTTCGTTTTTGTGGATGGGATTGCCCCAGTATGACCAATTCTAATCTCCCATCAAAGGTATTTTTTCCCACATTTGATATGTATCTCAGAGAACCCTGCAGTCTGGCTGCCTTGTGCAAGAGGTTTCTAAATTGGGTTTTACAATTATTTCTGTTAAGTATAAACTTAATGTATACCAGCTGCTGAGGGATTAGAAAGCTTTGTTCCCCCCCCCCCCCGCAATCATTGGAAACCTTGTTTACAGAAGACTCAGTGATATTCTTTAAATGTCTTGTGCTGAATATAAAAGAATGTATGTTTATCTAAGCAACAATAATCCGACTACAAAGAAACTCATTTAAGGGTTATACCTCCTGTCTCTCACGGTACAGCTGTCACCAGAATGCTCGTCCAGGCTTTGCAAATTGCTGTAAAGCAAAATAAGTTGGGGGATAAACCTGCTAGTTTGAGAAGAAATGTAATTCTAAACCATAGGAAAAGGATGCAAGAAGCAGAATATCAGGATGTTGAGACAAATTTGTTGGAGTTCTTGTTGTCTAACTGGCTGATAGGACTCAGATCACTGAGGGAGAGGTTTGAAGGTGTTCATCCCCAGCAAAGAGAAACCCAGAGTCCTCCAGATAGCTAAAGGGAAGCATTTTGAGAGCCAACGAAGGCCTTGAGCTTTTTTTGTCTTTGCTGGAAGAGCAGAGAGGCTCTGGGGTCCAGGGTGCCACGCAGAGGCTGCTGTTAGCTCTGAGTCCTCACTTACCTCCTTGTGTATGGAGAACTTACACGTAGAAAACAACACAGAGTATGTAGCAGCATTCAGCAATGTGAGACCATCACTTTGACTGTTCCAAGTCTCACCATTTTTATAGGCAACACCTCATCTGCACTCTGAAACTTTCGTATTAAAACAGCATGTCTCCATAGCACCAATATTATTAAAGACTGAAGAAAATCGGATGCAAAGAAGTTTAATAACCTCTCAGGGTGGTGCAGCAGGTCTGGGTCGTGCAGCAGGTAGATTCATGGTGAGAAAAGACCTGCGTCCATTTTCTTTCCCTCCTTCTGTAGACTTCTGCTGAGCCCAGAGCTCTTTGCTCTGTGAACACTATCGGCTACAATGGCTTCCTAGCCAGCTAGCCATTATCTTTCCTCAGTTAACAACCTGCAGCACCAAGTTCTCGGATGCCTGGTACAGAAGATCCTAAGACTTTTATGACTCCTTTGAGGTGCAGACTCAAGCTCCATGGTGAAGTCAAGGCTCTGGTCCTGATGACTTGGTGACGCTCTTTTTCATGAGTAGGAGGGTGCCAGCCTGTGGAAGGTGGCTTCTTCCAGAGCTCTGTGTTGTCCTGATTGGCCTGATTTTAAAAATAGAGAACAATCCCCTTCCTTCCCCCTGAGGAACTATAGTTAGTGTTGAATAAGCTTGGCCACACCTGAGGAACCACCAACTCTGTTCCACCTCGCAGGTAACATTCAGATCCTTGACAACAGTATTTCATTGTTTATTGTTATTACAGTGTGTGCTCAGTGGAGAAGGGTAGTGATATCTCCTCTATACCTCACAGAGGCATACATGTGCATTACTCTACTGAGTGTTAGACCATTAGAAAATTAGTCCTGCAATGCTTCATATTGTAAATTCTTACTACAGTGCTCATCGGTTATTCAGGAGACTTTTAGCAACATTTAGAACTTTAATCTTTTAGGATGCTTTAGCAATAAATTGGTACTTTTTGCCACCTAAGCAGAGTGTAGGCTTTTCCTGCGTAACTCATTTTGTAGGGTTGCATGAGGCTCAGACTCATGCACAACATCTCTGCCCTGTGCCAGACATGGAGAACATCCTGAGAATAGAATGAAGAGTAGGAAAGATGTGACTGCTGCCTCAGGAAATACTCAGAAAGCTACACACCATGGCACATGGTGTCAGGCTGGCACTTGGGGGGGGTGTGAGATAGGTAGATTTCTTGAATTTGAGGATTTCCAGTATAGGCAGTATGAGAAGGTTCCCTTTCAGCAAGAAAACAAAATAAGCAAAAAACCCTCCGGGTTCAGTGAGTGAGAGACTCTCTCTCAAAGAATAAGGCAGAGAATGGTAGAGCTGGACACACACATATGAGAGAGAGAGGGAGAAAGAGAGGAGAGAGAGAGAGAGAGAGAGAGAGAGAGAGAGAGAGAGAGAGAACAAGAGTGAGTACAAATCTGAATCTCATGGCTAGGGGAGCTGTGCCTGGGGAGAGGGTATATTGGGTTCTTCTGGGCCACAGGGTAGAGGTTAGCAGTCTTGCTAGACAGGTCTCTGTCCCTTTCAACCTTGATACTAAGATGACAATGTTTTGTTCAGATCCAAGGATCTACTATCATCCTTCTGGTCTTTCTAGGGTCATTTAACTAATGAGTAAGTGCTGGGCTGGTTTAAGGATCACTGGAGTGTCTGCCAAGACTTCTGCCAGCAAAAGGTTTAGAAAAGGAAAAAAGATGGTTTTTAACCACAGCCAATTTCTCTTTATCACTAACAATTACAAATACATATATGTGTGTGTGTATGTTCATATATACACATATATAATATGTTTTGTATACTATATATTATTTACAATATACTACATGTATATTTGTAAGGGCTGCAGAAAGGACAAGGGGAAAGAGATTGGATTAGATTGTCATCAGAACAGCTTTGCAGTGTGACCTGTGGTCATGGGGCCTTCCCCTCTCTTGCGTCCACCTTTCCTCTCTCGCTGTGTAAAGCTCCCCAAGGAAGAGGAAACGAGGAACACCAGGATGCTACCTGCATTTGAATTTGGACAAAGGTGGAGTAATATTTCTTACCATACCTCTCTGGCAACATTTGGAGCCTCTTCCTGGCACCATGTGACCATGTCCTGTGTGACGTGTGTCCCTGGTTCATGTTCTAGTGTCTTCACACATAAGGAAATTGTCCCTCCCTTGAGTCCAAGTCTCCTCTGGGCAAGATCTTACTTGGGAGACTTTAAGATTTCCCTCTTTGATAGTCCATGTTAGAGTTCTCCTTGTGATTCTCACATGCTGTGAGCAGAGAACCAGAGGAGCAATTCACAGCTGTGTCCTCCCTGTAAGCCCTAACCCAATACATGTACTGTGTATTTTCTTAAGTGATGAGTGAACCGAAGGTGATTGCTGCCTTATTAAGAATCAATTAGATTCAACAGCTATTGACCTCTTACCTACATTCCAGGAGTTAACCTTACCTACCATGCTGTCCACATGAGGAGATTGATTACTCATCTCCTGGGGGAGAAATGAGGGTAGGGAATGGAACAGGGCTAAAAGCTATGCTCAGATTTTATACCTTGTGTTACAGATTAGCCAAAAAGATCGGAGTGGAAACTTTTCCCTTCTAGAGAACGAACATTTCTAATTTTGGAACATTCCTTTTCTAAGAATAGAAAGATTTGCCATCATGCAGTGCCGATATACACTAGCTTTTCTAGTCTAAATTGTCTCTATGGCACTTTGATGTGGCAATTGAATTTCAGTAGTATTACATAAATAAGAACTTCAAAAGCCAATAGAAAGATATCAGTGACAATGTTCAGCTCATATTTTAAAAGTTACTGATGTGTCAAGTGACAATAGAAAAGACACCTTCTAAGAGGGGGCCTCTTCACAAGCTCTATGCTTTGGTTGATTATATCATTTAAACATTTCTTCACAAAAAAAAAAAAAATGGAGCAGATGTCACACCTCAAAGATCAAGACTTACAGCAGCTTTTTGGTGAGTGCTTTTCAGGTGGGAAATGCACAGAAGAGAGAAAACATGTTTAGAAGTGTGCAGATGATTAGCTGTGTGTGAGCTGGGTTTGTCTTAGGTAGATTTGCAGTGATCTTCAGAGCCCTGGATCCCCCTTCTGAACTTTCTGCATGGTGTCTGCTATCTTATGGCCCCTGTTGGGATATAGGAGAGATGGAACTACACCAGGAACCTCCTGGTACCTGGAAATCCAACTGTTGTGCCTACCTGTGAGCCTCACTGGGAGAACAGTCTATTTGGTTGTAGACAAACTGGTTATAGACAGAAAAGTCTGTCGGACTCATATCCTACACCAGTGAACAGGCACACATTTGTTCCCAAATGTTCAACTGTCAATAAGACTTCTAGCTTCATGTAGATCAACTGTATTTGGAGTGTCCCAAGAATTAAAGCAGGTCCAGGAGCCAAATGTGAAAATCTGTGCTCATCTCTTACCAAGCCAATGCTGTGAGTAACAGAAAGCAAAGTTCTTATGTGACAGATGACATGTGTGACCAAATAGAATGTAGTCATCTCAGTCTCGCCCCCCCCCCCCATGTGCTGTGCCTCTGGTATTAAATAAGTTGTGGTCCATTACTAGGCATTTGCTGAAAAATAAAGAAGAATCCTATTTTATTTGGGGAAAAAACCAAATGATATTTGCTTTATGTTTTATCCAGGTGCAAACCCTTGTTTATTTATAAGTACAAAACAAAACAATTAAATGAAGATTGAAATAAATGGTTATGTTTTATTCATGCTAGACACATCTGTCTTGTCTTTTAGAATGAAGTTAAAATATCTTTATAAATCCCTTATTCTTAAAAATAAGCAACACTTTGTTTCCTTTGGGGGGGGAACTGTTATCTTTTTGAAAATTGTTTATTGGGATCATTTGGTTTGGATGGGAAGTGAGCCTAATGTAACGGTTCTGGATTATTCCTATTCATTAGGATGTGTTAATTAATTCCAAAGTTTCCTGGATCTCTGATTTGGTGAATGAATATATAATAAAATTACAACTGGGGCACTAGCTCTTTATCTGAATCACATTTGAATTCGAAGACATTCTTAACATTTTTCTTCTTTTTAATATAGGTGGAAAACAGACCAAAATATTATGGACGAGAGTACGTATTATACTATTCTGTGTTCTTATAATTTAATAAGTAGTCACTTCATATGTCATTCAAATATCAACTATTAAATATTCCCTAACATGGTCTTCATCATGTGTCCATTGTCTAAGAGTTTAGTAAGAAGAATAAACGCAATTAGATACCTTTGTATTGAGGTTCCTTCCCACACTCTGGTGTCTGGTTTCCACTAAGAAGTGTTGTAGCCCTCTACTCCAAACCTGCTTCTGGGTGCCTGGCCAGTGTTTGAAATGGAAGGCTGTCCATCAGCTCTCCATCAGCATTCCATTTCACTGTCTACCCCGATGCCATACAAAAACTTTAGTGCTGAAGGCCATACGCTACAGCTGAATTCCTGGCTGTCATGAAGCTCATAGCACAATGGTCAGAAAAAGCATCCTGTTTCCCTGCATTGTCAGAAAACCAAAAAGGTCATTCTCTAGACTTGGGTGTGTCAGCCAAATTGCCTGAAGACCCTCTTTCCACCCCAGCCACAATTCTTCTTTAACTCCAGCTCTAGATTATTTAGTTATTTAGTTATTTTACTTACTTAGGATCTAGCACAAAGCAAACACCATGACTAGCAAAGCCATTTACAGTCTGAGACGACTGTGAGGTGTAGAGCACCTTAGAGAGCAAGGGCCATGGAATGGTCCAAGGGGAGAGGGGTAAATAAGTCACCTCTTCTTAAGGTCAACCTAGAGGTGTGACGAGGCCAAGCCTCTTTCAAGTCTATCTCCTGTGCTCTTTTGACCAATGCAAGATCATCCTCACCCCCAGAAGAGCCTCAACTTCATGATTAATGGACCATTTGGTCATCCTGGGTCAGAGCTCCTTCCCAGGGGACACAGCTGCATCCTGGACCCTTTCTTATCAGACTCTGCATCCAGCCAGGTCCTCTCAAGTACCCACCCAGGAATGTAGGCCTCCCTCTCACCATCCCCCACTCCCTCACCCCCCCCACCCCACCTCAGACAGCTAGACTGTATTGTCTCATGATTGTGATTCTCCGTCTGACTTGGAGAACTGACTTGCAAACTGCACAATTATTTTAAGAGAGAGCAAACAGACCACCCTACCACATACAGTTTTGTGCCTGAATCTAACAGATACTTTATTTATTATATGTTTTCTTTTTAACACAAAAGTCTTGATTGAACAATCTTTGCTATTTCGTCTTCCAACCAGCCAAACCCTGTAAGCAAAGGAGGCAGGAAAGCAAAGAAGTGTTTTCTTAATCACAAAGGACATTTATATTAGAGGAGAATTGATGTAAAACGTTCTGCTCCTCTTGTTCTTAAAAAAATGAAGTTCTTTTTCCCATCTACTCCAAAAGCAATGCACGTGCCCCCGAGGAGGCAGCATATCTGTGCACTGCTCAGGCAGGAAGTCCCCATGATGAGTGACAGTGGGCATCTCTGGGGAAGCAGACTATTTGTTTCTGTATTGCTTAAACTTTGCCATCATATATACTGTCAACATTTCAACTCTGAATGTTCCCACTATGCACTACCACATTCTTTTTTTCTGTTAATTTTTTAAGAGTCTGTGTGGTTTGTGTGTCAAGTGTGTGCTTGGTGCCTGCACAAGCCAGAAGAGGGCATCAGTTGCCCTGGAACTGGAGTTACAGAAGGTTGAGAGCTGCCATGTGGGTGGGGTGCTGGGTCCTGCAGAAAAGCAACAAGTACTCTTAATTGCTGAGCCATCTCTCCAGCCCCTACCATTTCCATTTTTAATTCCTAATACCTACTAACATTGGGAAAATGAAACATAGGAAAATAGATGGTGGGAAATACCCACAAGTCTCCTCGCCCCATGAAAGAGAACCATTGTTACCTTTTTAACTTTGTCCAGACATTCTGACTTTTTAAACCATGCATAAATCACAGACTGTTTTCTGCTGCACAGCACAGTAAATTCCTTCTTTTGGACAATTGAATTTGGTGCCGGACACCCACTTTGCCCTCTGACTATCACTTCAATTTCTAGCTCAAGAAAGCTAGTATTTAGCTGTTCTGCTGCTTTCAGACTGGAGCACTCACAGCCCTCCTGCCCCTCTCCTGCAGCTGCCCCTCTCCTGCAGGAGTAAGCAGGACAGGGCACCAAGGTCCCTGTGCCCTCTGTAGTCAGCACCTTAGCCCACTGCCTTACTTCTGCCAAACTGAGGCACCTGCTTCATATCCTAGACACCCCATGCCCAAACCTCCTCTGGAACCAGCTTTTATCCTTTTACTGCTAAGAACCTTCCCTGTGCCCTCTGTTCTTCATAGTCCCGTGTCCCATCTCTATGGCCTCCACCGTTGCCCTCAGAGCTCTTCATCAAGGCCACTGCCAGCTCTCCTGCCTGGGTTACTCTTACATATCAGCACTCGTCTCTAGTGTCCCCCGAAAGCAGTGCTCTAAGCGCTGGTTCCTGAGCTTCAAAGCCAAAAACTTGGCAGAGCATAAGCCTCTTTACCCACAAGCTATCCTTGCCTTGACCTAAGAGCTGAGCTTTTAATGCTGGACCATTGAAGCTTCTGGTGTCTTTGCTGCCCTAGGACCAGAACATCAACCAGAAGAGCCCAGTATTGCAGAGAAAAAGAAATATCGAAAAAGAAAATTAGGAACACAGAGAGAGTGTGTAAGAGAAAGAGAGAGAAACACACACTCTTCCATTCACACACATATGCATGCATGCACCCAGACACCATAGATACACACACACACACACACACACACACACACACACACACACACACACACACACACGCGCCCCTCTATCACACTTGTACTCCAGTCTAATTCTTTGTATTCTTCTTGGTGGGATAGAATTTTTTTTTTAAAAAAAGGGTTTCTTGTTTGTTTGGTTTTTTGTAGTTTTTTTTTTTTTTTTTTTTTTTTTTTTTAATGCTTAGGAAGCATTAAAGTTTTCTTAGCATTTGGTAATCCTGGAAAGAGGTATTTATCCCTCGCCCAAGAGTTTAGAGTCCCTTTTTTTCATATTCAAGCCCCTTCATCTTAGATACAGAGGACAGAATTGCAAGTGATGACAGAAAAGAAGAAAAAACTGGGCATGGTGGTGCCCTCAGGAGAAGGCAGGGGCAGGTATATCTCACTGAGCTCGAGGCCACCCTGGTCTGCGTAGTGAGTTCCAATACAGCCAGGGCTCCATAACAAACAAAACAAAACAACCCAAAGAATGGCAAGTGATGGCTGTGAGCCTTCATCTTTACTTAAAAGTAGAAGTACAAATGGTTCCACCCAACCACCCGTCTTCAACCTCCCAAGGCACTGCTCTAGCCTAGGCTTCACACAACTGCTTTCAGAAGGTCAATGCAGTCTCCCACAAGCAGAAGTCCCCTCCGTGTGCCACATTGTGTGTGTGTGTGTGTGTGTGTGTGTGTGTGTGTGTGTGTTCATTTTGTAACAGAGAAAAAGAAGACAAACAGGATCATTAAAACAGAAAAGTGAGTTCTTTTCCCAAGCACCCACCTAAACAATTACTCTCAAATGTAAAAGACTGGAAGAAGATGGCTTCTAGCCAGCCCTTCCCTCCAGTGAATCAACCTCTGAAATGAACAATGCCCAGCACCAGAAGCAAGCAGGTTGCTAATCAATAAGTGTTCATTTGCAATCAGGATAATCCATGGTTCTCTGTGTTCGAGCTGAAAGCTAAATTGGTAATTGCTCTTTTGTTATTCCCGATGGTTTGAAAGGAGCTATAACCTGGCTTTCATTTGGAGTTTCATTTTCAACTTGGGAGCAAATACAGTAGCAGAGAGTCAGGTGGACTGTGTGTTTTCCTGTGTTTGGAACTCTTTGGGGGAAGGCAGGGAGATAGTTCCAAGACGGTCTTCACGGTGTGACATAGGCACACCCCTCTTCATTCCATAGGAGACAGTGGGTGCCTGGGGACCTAGAAACCATCCTTTTTAGTCTAGTCCTCACAGTACCTACTTTATACTGTTCAGAGCTCTGTTCAGAGCAGTGACTGCCTTGTCCCTCCAGGTTTCATGGGATCATCTCCCGGGAACAGGCTGACGAGCTTCTTGGAGGTGTGGAGGGTGCCTACATCCTTCGAGAAAGCCAGAGGCAGCCGGGGTGTTACACACTAGCACTAAGGTGAGCTGCATTTCACTCATGGTTTGTGAAGGTGGCTTTTATGATTTCTCCATTTTTAAAAACTGTAATATGCTCCTGGGTCAGACCTGACTGAGATGGTGAAACAATAAAAACAGACACACAGAAAAGCTGGCAGCAGATAGACTGAGCTGTCTGGTGGAGAAACCGTAGCACCCCAGGAGATCAGCACACTTATAAGACAGTGTTGACTAGGGAGTTGCGGTTATTGCATACAGCTGAGTGAGGAGGCAGGGTCCACGGTTTACAGCTAAATAAGGAGCAGAGTCAGCTTGTCTCAGTAAGAGCAGTCTCAGTATTGGTGCAGTCTTCAGGCTGTAAACATCTAGGGAGAGAAAGCTATGGTGGAGATTTTCTGGGCACAATGTCAATATTCAAGTTGAGACCCAAGGAAGACTTTGCTATTGCCCATTTGAGCCTCCCCGGGGACTATTTTGCCAATTCCCCACAGAGTGTGAAGCTATGGGGTTCTTGACGTGGTTGTGCCCATGTCAACAATATACATTCACTCAGGGCTTCACACATTCAGGGGTTGCTCAGTTCCCTCCAACAGTGAAATGCACATAACATAAAATGGACCATCTCCACCGATATAAGTGTGCAGGACAGTGGCATCAGACACATCAGCTATGCTTAACAGCCACATGACTGTCCATCTCTGGGACCTGCCTCTCATCCCAGACACTCAGTTTCCACAGTGAGTCACCCCTGCTCTGGTTACTTGGCATCCTACTGTCTCCAAACACCAGCTGCGGGCTAGAGGTTAAGGGTCTCTTTTCCTGACTACAGACAATGCAGGTTGTCACAGGTCTGCTTCACAGACATGCAGCCCACCATCCATGAGTTCTCAGGGACCCCTTGACCCCAAACTCACCATGATGACTCTGTTATGAATGCCAGGAAGCCAATAGGGCCAGCTTCTCCAGAGCTTGGCCAGTAGCACAGTTGCTAAGACACTGCAGGGGTCACTTGTAAACCCCAGGCTGTTTACTCCTCACATAGTCCTACTGTAGACTCTTGGAAATTGACTAGAGCTTCCTCCATAGCAAGAAATGGAGGGGACAAAATGGAAATCCTTCCCAGGCTGGCCTGTGAAGGGTGTGTGTTTAAAACACAGTCTCCATAGTGTGACCTCACAAAGAAGCTTTGCAAGTTGCAACTGGAGATATCCAGAGCATATCATTTGTGACTCAATGATGAGGGAATGTTTCAAAAGCTCTCAAGAACTCTGGGTAGGCAGACAGTTTCCCTATCTCCTGGCACCCCATAGTAGTCAAGCAGGTGAGACTGGGGGATGCCAGTATTAGTGGTGCACTTAACACTGGGCTGACGTTTCTCTTCCACTGCACTAACTGGGATGGTAGTGATAGGATAGCAGTCAAAGATGACACTGAGACATCATAGGGCTGTGGCGGTGGTATCCCTTGCAGAGGTAATTGTTATTTCCCACTAAAGAAGTTTCTGGGTGACATAGTTATAAATCAGGGCTTTGAAATTCACAAATGAGAATGGAATGATACAATGTCCCGAGTGACATGTAGGATGGAATGTTCCCAAATGTGTACCTGAGGTTAGATCGCATCTGCCTCATCCCAGGCACATAGGCCCCAGCAGGGCGCCCCTGCTCTTTATGACAAGGTGGCTTCCACCGTGAAATATGGAAAATAATAGTAGATATTTCAAAGGACCGCTGAGATAATTAGCTGCAGGCACCCACTCCAGGCCTGACATATGGGACATGCGGGAAGCTCCTGTCGTTTCCCAATGCTTCTCGACTGTTGTAATCCTTTTTTTTTTCCGTGGGCAGGTTTGGGAACCAGACCTTAAACTACCGGCTCTTCCACGATGGGAAGCACTTTGTGGGTGAGAAGAGGTTCGAATCCATTCATGACCTGGTGACAGATGGCTTGATCACACTCTACATAGAGACCAAGGCTGCTGAGTACATTGCAAAAATGACCACAAATCCCATCTATGAACACATCGGATATGCCACTCTCCTCAGAGAAAAGGTGTCCAGAAGGCTGAGCAGGTCGAAAAACGAATCAAGGAAAGCCAGTGTCACCAATGAGGAGCACACACCAGTAGAGAAGGTGAGCAACTGACAATCGACGATGGCCATGGGCTATCTGCTTTCAGGTTGTCCTGAATGAGACCAATCATGGTAGGTGCAATTTGCCAAATTGTAGAACTGGGGTGCCAGAAGAACCTTAGACTCTTCTGGGTCAACCCCTTTTGAGTTCTATGTAAGAATCTCAAGACCCATAAATGTCCTACACTTTTCCCTGTGGTCAGAACCAGGATTTAGACAAATACTCATTTGTGGGTTTAATCTTAGTTGGGATGAAAGAAAACACACCATTATTGTTGAATGTCAACTAGTGGATGAAACGTGTTTTTCAGTTGCCACTGGGGGCCTGCTGGCTGTCTCTGGCTACAAAGCAGGCCAAATGCAGGGTGTTTATGTTTGTCCTGGGGATGTGTGAACAAACATGGGCAGGAGGCTAGCCACCTTTTGAAGTTAGACTAACGTAGATGAAGACAGACATGGGAGCCTCCATCATAATGACTACTGCCTCTTGGGGCCTGAGTTGGGCTGTCCTCCCCCCAGTGAAGTACACCACACCCCACTGCTATCAGAAAACCCCTGAGCTGGGTGAGTGTGCGAGCTGGGTCTGGTTTGGTGGTTGCAGGATATGGCGGAGGGGACACCACTTTCCTCTCCAGTAACCTGCTGCTTATTTGAAAGGAGCCACCACAACTGCCCAGCAGACTTTGGGGATGTGCCCCATTCAGGGACCTCGTGCTTTGCCTGATCATATCTACTTCCCACTGAGAGTGACAGCCTGCCATACCATTAGCACCCACCGTGGATGGACTAGGGCTGGGTCAGTGAGGGATACAGAGGGCCAGATGGAATGCTGCTGCTCTGTGTGGCTGCTATCCTTAATGAAACTCAGGTGAGCCCCACACACCAGGGCTGGTGGAAACCAACAGAGGCTTAGGCTGAGTGAAAGGACTGGGGTTCAGAAGTGGAGACTCACCAAGCATGGCTGGAGAGAGCAGCCAGTCTGTTGGCAGCAAGGGTGTGGTGTTAATTGACTCACTAATTGAGTCTCGGAGCAAAGGAAGGGTTTCCCTAACCACACATCAGTTGAGCAGCTGGCCCATGAAAAAACATCATTTGCCCTATTACTTTTATAACTCTAATGTCTCCCCAACACCTGTGTAGTCTTTCACAGATAATTGATTTGGGAAATTTGGGGACTGCTGACAGTTTACATTTTAATAGGAGGCAGGGAGGGGAGGGAAGAGAAGGAAGAAGGGAGAGAGGGAGGGAGAGGGAGGGAGAGAGAGAGAGAGAGAGAGAGAGAGAGAGAGAGAGAGAGAGGAGACCCACCCAGCTCTCAGAGTTTGTTGTGGTCCAGCTGAAAGCTAGTCCTTAGTCTGTTTGTAAAATCTGTTCATAAGCAATTTGGAACAGAAAATCTGGAAGCTGGCCTTCTCGGCCATGATAAATGAGAGGATGAATTGTGGAGTAGGTCTCGGAAGTGATGTTTGTATTTCTGAATCAGAGAGCAGAACCTCTGTAAACGCAGTCTGTTACAGAAAGCAGGCCCCACAATGGAAACCAGCGAGGAGGTCCCAGTGACAGAAGCTCTGCCTCTGGGTGTTAGTTTCAGCAGGAAACTGGTGAGACAGGGTACACTCTCTGTCTTAGTCAGGGTTTCTATTACTGCTCTAAAACACTGCTCTAAACATGACCAGAAAGCAAGTTGGGAAGGAAAGGGTTTATTTGGCTTACACTTTCTTATCACCAGTCATCATCCAAGGAAGTCAGGACAGGAACTCAAACATTGCAGGAACCTGGAGGCAGGAGCTGATGCAGAGACCATGGAGGGATGCTGCTTACTGGCTTGCTCCCTATGGCTTGCTCAGCCTGCTTTCTTATAGAACCTAAGACCACCAGCCCAGGGATGGCACCACCCACAATGGGCTGGGCCCTCCTCCATCAATCACTAATTAAGAAAATGCTCTATATGTTAACCCCTCTAATGGAGGCATTTTCTCACTCAAGATTTTCTCATCTCAGATAACTATAGTATGTGTCAAGTTAACATAAATCTAGAGCCTAGAGAACTGAGTAATCTAATTATTAATCACATCGAGTGAGCCAGCCAGTAGCTCTTTTCTTTGGGGAGGTGACTGGTAAGGAAAGAAAGGGGATGTTGCAGTCCACACTCATAAGAGGTTTGATGGACAGTATCAAGGGTGTGGATTTTCTTGGACACTAATGATGTGCTTGGCTTTCTTGGGGAATACGCTGGACACAAGGTCTGGTCACTTGCTGCTGGCCACTCATTTTGTTAGTAGCTTGTGAACTGACTTGTAAGACTCTAACCATTTCTCTGTGACACTATTGACAAGTGTCATCAGAAAAAGCCTCAGTCTGGGTAGAGATCCATTGCCCTTCAGGACAGGGCAGGAACCTGTTGCCATGGATGCAGGGACGAGAGAATAGCTAGTGGGAACTTGAGTGGATTGACTGAGTGGAGCCTAAGGTACTTGTCTGCTTCAGTTAATGGTGTGCCTTAAAGGTTTAAATAAGGGGGATGGATTAACTTCCCTGTGTTACTCAGACCCAGCCTGTCCATTCCACAGTGACCAAATGCTGCTTGCCTATTTGTTACATTGATAATTTCCAAGTAAATCTAAAAAAGACTATGCTGTTGGATCCAAGTGCATTAATAGTGATTGATATATATATATATATATATATATATATATATATATATATATATATTTCACTTCCTGCCTAGGTTGTTAGCCATGAACCTGACTTTATTAACTGTAGATGAGGCAGGGGGATGGGCAGACCACAGAGGAAATAAAGAATAAAGCTGAACAGGGTCGGGCTGCTACTAGTAGGTCAGTGTCATGATTCTTTATTTAGTTGACTTTTCAAATGTGGTATTTTAGGGGGTGCATTTAATTAAAATGGTCAGTCTAGTACAGTAGCTTATGTGAAATGTATTTTAGAAATTATACCACGCATAGATTATCTACTGGTCTTCAGAAAGATGGTGTGATGGGCAGTCTATGAATAACACTGGATGCAAGACCCAGACTGCTTGTACATGAAACAGTTTCCCATTTTAGACTTAGCAGCTTTGCCAGCTTCACAGGCAAGATCCTCTCTGCCTTAGTCCAGCTGCACAGTAGCAGGATGAAGAGGTGAGCCCAGGCTCCCGCATCCCACACTCAGAGCATCTTAAGTCTGCTGAGCAGCTGGACCATGTCCTGTCCCTATTGCCTCTGTTGCTCTAAGTAACCCCTTGGATTGGCCACCATCCTGTCAGTGGGTGCTAAACTCACTCAGTCTTTACATGGCCTGATTTTGAAAATGCATTACTGTGTCTAGCTATAAGAACCAACCCATCTCACCAAACACACCCCACTGAATCAAATAAATAGCATGGCCAGCGTGCATGTGTATTAACGGGGTGGAGATGATATAGTAAATGGCACCTGTGTTTGATGTGGGAAAATAATGTGTACCCTTGAGGCAGTAAAAGCTCTTTCAATAACATACCAGTTGAATATCCTCTGCCTACGATGTTTGGGAATCAGGGATTTTTCAGATTAGGAATAGAATAGCAGTTTTTCATCTCTAATCCAAAAACCTGACACAAAGCACTCCAGACTTTGAGGTTTTGGGTACAGGGTGTGAAGCACGGGTTGTATCTTATTCACTCCTTCACTGTTGTGAGGGTGCTTAGCCCACTTATATCATGCTTATTCCTTTCATCGTTTCTTTCACGGTATTCAGCACCACGGCTTGGTTGTTCACTTCGGCGCTCATGGAGGATGGGCAGACCCAGTTCTGTCCTGTTCATTCATTTCACTGTTTCTGGTGGTAGTAAATGTCAGAAAATAACCTTCACGAATTCCATGGCAGCTCCTCTATGTAAGGCATGGCACGCAGCCCCAGGACAAGATGAGGGCTGATGCAGAAAGGGCAACTTGTGTCATTAATGTTTCACTTGTGTACATGAGGAAAGCACCGATGTGCCTGCGTGCATGCGTGTGTATGCATGAGTGTGTGTGTGCGTGCGTGCGTGTGTGTGCACGAGTGTGTGTGTGCGTGCGTGCATGCGTGTGCAAGAGTGTGTGTGCGTGAGTGCGTGCGTGTGTGTGTTCTTGTTAAATCATAAAGCTAAAAGAGCAGGCGCCATTGATTGTTGGAGGGGAAAGCAGGTGTCCAAAAGAGTGAGTGTGGGAAGAACTTTCCTTTCCTTGCTCCTATTTGAAGCTCTTTAACCTTTGAACCATGACAAGAATAAAAACCTTACCGTGTCTTACACATGTCACATTAAAGCCAAGGGAAGCGCTTTCTGCCCCTCCCGATGCACAGAGCTGGTCCAGTTCCCTGCTTCCCACCCCTTCCTCTGCTCACAGTGCCCCCCTCCCTCCCACCCCTTCCTGGTGCTCACAGTACCCCCCTACCCCACCCCTCCAGATTATTCACCCAGGATCTGTGCTCTCAGGACTTGTGAAGGTCATTTCAGCAGCAGCAATGGCCTCAGAGTGGGGAATAGCTCCCTGGAGATGAGGCTGGCTTCACACTTGCCTTCCTGGCACTCCCACCACATTCTCAGAGGCTCCCCAGCCCCCTCCCTGCCGGGACTGCCTTCCTCTAGCTAGGTGGCTGTCCACCTCCCTAATGCTGTGACCCTTTAATCCAGTTCCTCATGGCATGGTGACCCCCACCCATGAAATCATTTTCTTTGCTACTTCACAAGTATAATTTTACTGCCACTGTGAACTGTAATGTAAAGAACTGATATGCAGAATATCTGATACGTGACCCACAGGTTGAGAACTACCGCTCTAGCTGCTGCTATAGGACCAGTGCCCCAATCATTTTCATTTCTGCCGCAGGCAACAAAACCTGTTCGGTTTCCACTCTCCTGCCACAAGACCTGGCCAGTAGCCCTTCCTCCCGCCCTCCCCTGCCCCCCACCCCACCCCCGCCCCCCACCCCACCCCCGCCACCCCACCCCCGCCCCCCCACCCCACCCCCGCCCCCCCT